ACAGAAAGACAAGTACCATATGATCTCACTTACATTTGGAATCTAAAAAAGTCATAGAAACAGAGTAGAATGGTGGTGACTGAAGGCGGCAAAGGGTGGGAATGGGGAGAGGGGAGGGACTGGGGATATGTTGGTCAAGGATTTCAGCTAGAGAGGAGGAGTAAGTTCAAGAGATCTATCGCACAACATGCGGAATATAATTAATAACAATGCATTGTACACTCGAAAATTGCTAAAAGCAGATTTTAAGTGTTCTCGCCACAAAAAAATGTGAGTAGTGCATGTGTTTAATTAGCCTAATGTAGCCATTCCACAATGTATACATATTTCAAAATATGTTGTACATCATAAACATATATAACTCTTCTTTGCCAATTAACAATAAATGAATATTGCACTGTTGCTTATTATTAAAAAGAGAGAAAAATAAGTAAATAAATAAAAAGTTAGAAATTTTTAAAGTATAAAAATAGAAAGAATATGAAACAGCATTTTAGTCCTACCTATGAGGAATTAAACTTCTGTCTACCAGCAAAATAGAAGATATCATCAGTAACAAGATGGATGCACTTGAATAGGCAAAAATAAAAACTTTATGTATATGGAGTATGATAAAGTAAATATTTAAAAAACACCAAGAGCTTAATTTCAATCTAATCATGAGATAACAGCAGACAAATCCAGATTGTAGGACATTTACAAAACACCTGACCAGTACTCTTCCAGGTATCAAGGTCATAAAAGACAATGAAAGACTGAGGAACTATACCATTTGGTGTAGACCGGACAACTAAACGCCATTGTGGGATCCCGGATTGAATCCTGAGCCTGAAAAAGGACATTAGTGAGAAAACTGGCAAAACTCAATGTGCAATAAAGCATGAACTCAGCAGTATTTTAAACCATGCACATTCCAAAGAAAGGACTGGCCCTTGACAGCTCTTGGGGGATAACCTCTAAGTTCCTGGAGTATCCTGCCCGAAAAGAGTGCCTTTGTATACCTGGGGCTTTTGGCCACCCCAGGCAGTTTATATGGACAATGTTATTTACAGTGGGTGCTTGGGCCACGCTATATCAATTTGGCCTCTGGAGGGCCTGGAGACTGAATAACTCAGGTCAGCCACACCAGCCTCCCATGCCTCTGTGACAGACCATAATGACTCTGGACACCAAGGCTCAGATGAGCTTCCCTGGTTGTCAGTACTTCAAGTGTGTTGTCACACGTCACTGCTGAGAGCATTAAATGCTGTCCATACCACTCCACTGGGAGGAGACAACTGGAAGCTCTGGCCTTCTCTCTCCTGGACTCCACAGTATGCCCCTCTTTCCTTTCCTGATTTTAATCTGTGTTCTCTTGCTGTAATAAACCATAGCCACTAGTACAACAGTTTCTGAGTTCTGTGAGTCTTTCCAGCAAATCATTGTACCTGAGGTCAATCTTGGAGACCCTCTGATACACTCAAGTAAGTTCTGAAGGTAAATTAATAGAATTTCTTGGTTTCACAACTATGCCATGGTTCTGTAAGATGTTAACATGAGACAAAGCTGAGCAAAGGGTATACAGGAATTCTGTACAATTTTTTGCAACTTTCTGAAAGTCTAAAGTTATTTCAAAATAAAAAGTTAAAAACAAAGAACAAGGAGACATGAGATGATAATTATTAAAGCTGGGTGTTAGGTACATGTGGGTTCACTACATTGTTCTCTCCACTTCTGGACAGGTTTGAAACTTTTCGTAATAAAAAAAAAAAACCTTCTTAAGCCACAGAATTCAATAGTTCAGTGCAACAAATCAAGATGATCACATCCAAAGCACACAGAGCAAAGCCAGTTCCAAAGTTCATGAAGAAGCTACTTAAACATGGGAGTTTGTTAAGATGTGGAAACTACAGCAAAGAGAAATTAGTTGGTCAGTGATCCTGGCAGAGGCCAGATTGGAAGCCAGAATGTCCACCTCCAAACAGAGGGGTCAGGGCCACCTTCCCTGAAGCCACCACCCTGTGTAGCCACTGCCAACAGCAATAGGGGTTGCCAGGAGTCCAGGCCCCACGATCCCAGCAGGACCTGCTAGATGATGTCTCAAAGTCTACGTCACAGGTTCTGCCTCTTCATGCAGACAGAAGCTAGACACTACCTTGAGGACATGGTGCGGAGCTGCAAGGCCCCTTAGTGAGCAAACACCCCATATCACAGATGCGAAGGTTGAGGCCCAGAAGGGGAGGACACCTGCCCAGAGTCACCACATCTGAGAAGTCCTGCCAAGACAGGAGCCCCAGTCTCCTACCAGGCTGTGAACATCTCCTGATTTCTTTCCCCATCTTGCACAGATGGGTTAGGAGCCCATGTTTTTCATTAAAGACCTGGTTCATATTCCAGCTCTGTAACCTACTTATTGTGCAAACCCAGGCAAGTACCACCACCTCCCTGAGGCTGTTTCCTCACCTTTAAAGTGGGGAGCTGCACCCTACTTCCCAGCGTTGTTATGCATTTCATCACTCAGTATCCTCTGAGCATCCCATCCCACTCACCAAGACCTGCTCCCTGCTTGTCCTCCCCAGCACGATGCCCAGCGCACCACAGGCGCTCTACAAATACTCGTCCAAGGAATGTCAGGGAGGGCCATATGAATACTAACGCTAAGCAGAAACACAGGGAGGGAGAAAAATCATCCACCTTACAGAGCAATCTTTTCACACAAGGGCCATCTGAGGGGAGCCTTTGAAGCTCCTGTGCTATTAACAGCTTGAGTCCCTATATGGTAGGAGCCCTCAGGAAAGACCAGGAAAGGCAACGAAGACAGCATTTCACTTTGGGAACACAGCCGGGTACACAGCTTTTTGGTTTACAAGTAGTCTCAAAAAAATCCCACTCTGAGGTTGGAGGGCTGTATCCTTGCAGCACTCCTCCCTGGGCAGCCCCAGCACCTGGCAGGGCACTTCACAGCAGCTCAGGGGGGACAGGGTGGGGGAGAGACTCCCCAAGCGGGTCAGCTGAGAGCACGCACAGCCGCGCCTGTGGCTTCCATGTCCCTCCCCGCAGGGAGGAGGAAGGGGCTGGGCCACGCGGGGAGAGGCTCTGGCTCGCAGGCAGGGGAGGCCGGGCCTGCAGTGCCTGCGGGGGACACAGGTGAGTCTGGTGGCAGGAGGGGGCAGGGGAGGGACTGGGAGACCCCTGAGGATCCAGTGCTGACGCTCAGGGCAGCTGCTAAGGACTCTGAGTACTTTCTTCTACTCACACTTATTTACTGGGCACCTCCTGTAGGTCAGGCCCTGCACTAAGTGTTATTGTCACAGCATGAAGGGGACAAGGATCATCCCTGCCCACTTGCACTTTACATTGAGTAACACGTTTTAGTGCAGGGTCGGGGGTGGGGGGAGACAGCAACAAACAAAACCATAGCAAGTGAGTAAATGACCTTGTATGTGAGAAGGTGATAAGTGAAAAGAGAAAAGCAGAGCAGAGTGAAGGGGATTGGGAACGGCCAGGAGGGAGCTTGGGACTTTAAAGAGGGAGTCACTGAGAGGTGGGCCTCGCTGAGAGGTGACACTGAGGTGAAGTGAACGGAGCCGTGGTGACAGCAGAGGATAGGGTGTTCTGAGCAGAGGGCACAGCACCAGCAAAAGCTGGCAGTGCGGAGAAGCCTGGAGTGTTCAGGAACAGCGAGGAGACAGGGCAGCTGGAGTGGAGGGGCAAAGGGCAGAGAAGCGACGGGGCAGGGAGAGAGGAACTGGGCTAGGTGCCTTGCAGGAAGCCAGAGGGCAGACAATGGGGGCTCCTGCAATGTGTCCGGCCCCTTGCCAGCACCCCCACAGCCCTGCTGGGGTATTGGTTTGGAAGCCTGAGGATGAATCCCACTTGCTGCCTGTGGATGCGTGACCTTACAAAGTCGCCTCCCTTCCCAAGGCTCATGTCCTCTCTACAGAACCCTAATAATAGTAGCACATCCCTAGGATTGAGGAGAGGAAGAAGGAGAATCGAAAGAATGGCAGCCTGCAGACCAGATCTGCAGCATGCCTATTACAAGCTAGGCTCCTGGGACCCAAAAAACATGCAGAGCCAGCCTCAGCCCAGCCACTCACTGCCTGGGGGGAGGGACATGTGAGTAAATAAGAACTTGTCCCTAACACTAGTGGTACCCAGTGGGGCACCCAAGAGGTGCTCAGTTCTCCCAGGGGCACTGCTGTCAGGAGGGCTTCCTGCAGGAGGGGTTCCGGGAAGCTGGGGCTCACTAGAACACCAGGGAGCTGATGGTGGCCAGAGGAGACAGCGAGGGCAAAGGGCAGGAAGAGACTGAGAGGGTTGGGATGGGGGGAGAAGGCTGATATAGGAGACGTGCAAGAGCGGGGTGGGGAGGGGGAACGGCAGGGACTCCATTCCACACACAGTAGGCACCAAGGGGCAAACTCCAGGCAGGGGAGGAAAACGATGTGATGTGCAGGTTAAAGAGCTTATCCTGGCAGCAGGGAGAACAGACAGAGAGACACTGAGGCCAGGTGAGAGACAACAGTGGCCTGGAGTGGTAGCCAAGGAGATGGCAAGGAGCAAATGGATTTGAGAGACTCAAGAAGTAGGACGGGCCACACCTGGAAGCTGCCTCACTGTGGAGAAACGGGGGCTTCTAAAAGGCCGAGGGTTTGCCATCAGGAGGCAGGGTCCACTCTGGCTATGGTGGACATGCAACAGATGGAGCATGAACTTCATGGTCAGACCCTGTCCAAATCTCACCTGACGCGTATGGAACTAGCATGCACTGAGCAGTGACTGCATACAATGCCTAGGCAGTGCCCAGTCCACAGACAGTGCCTACAGGGTGTGGAGTGGCATGCAGACACTCGAGGGAGGGCTACTTCTCCTCCACCAAGCAGCCCCTGGCTGATGCTCAGCCCTGGGCAGTTCCTCCTGCACACAGGTTCTTTGTACTGTCCAACGCTCAGAGTAGACCATCAGAGCAGCCAGGCCAGAAGTGACTCTGCTCAGACATCAGGCTGGTCCAAGGGAGGATGGGCAGCCCAGTGCACCGAGTGTCACTGGGGGATACCTGGAGCAGGCAAGTGCACCCCGACATAGAGAGCGAGAGGAATGCACCGTCCTTTGACGTGGAACGGCTCACCCACATCCTTGATGGAGGTGCCGAGAACTCTGCACTCCGCAGGAAAGTAGGTAAGAGGAGGCTGGGGAATGGAGCGCCTGCTTTGTGCTACACATGCTTTCTTGGAAGAAGAGCTCTACACTAGCAGTCCCACCTTCAAATAACAAACTTTCCCCTCAAAATTCCACTGTCAGAGAGAGATTTATTCCTTTGGGCTATGAAGGCACTTTTAATGTGCCGATATTCCCTGAGCCCATCTGAGGGAGAGAAGAGTCCTAGGCAGCAGAATATCTGAATACTGGTCCTAATTCTGCCACTGATAGCTTTGTAACCTTGGGCAAGTCACTTTTCCCACCTCTGGGCCTCAGTTTTCCCATCTGTTAAATGGAAATAATGTCTGACTTCTTTTCCAAGTCCATGATGCAAGTCGGTGGGAAGATTTGAAGGTGACAGAACCTTCACCCAGGTCCCTAAGCCCTCTGTTCTCTATCCCCTGCAGAGAGGATCATCCACAGTGACCCAGAGTTTAGCTGTCAGGACAATTATTTCATGACCCAGAATGAGCGTTATGAAGCTGCCATGCGGAAGAGATTCCACATCCAGATGATAGCACAGCGCCTGGGATGGCTGGAAGGTGGTCGTGAATTACTCTACGCTTACAGGTGCTCACTCCTGGGGTAGCCCCACCAGAGAGGAATCTACCTAGGATCACTTGGAAATCCCCCAGCCCCATGAGCCATTTTCCCCAACAAGGAAGCCAGGATGCCAGGTGCCCCTTCCTTCCTGCACTCTGCCCAGGCTGAGGGTATCAGGACCCCTGTCTCCAACAGGCTACTCACCCACAGCATTTCTCCCCCACAGAGCCGTTTCTGGAGACCTGGCATTAAGTTTACACTACATCTTCATGAACGCTCTCAAAAGCCTGGGCTCAGAGGAGCAGATTGCCAAATGGGAACCACTCTGCAAAGAGTTCCAGATCATCACAACATATGCCCAAACAGAACTGGGACATGGTGAGCCAGGGCTGTTGCTTGCAGTATTCAGGTTACGCACTGCACAACTCCAGAGGGCCCATTCACATCTCAGTGTCATAGATTTATATATTTAATATAAAAATATTCCAGCAGATGACAGTCAAGAATCTTGAGGAAGGGGTGCCTTTTTTTCTAATTTGCACAAACATATTGTACCATCTCCTACTTGCCTATGGGGCAAGTCATTCCTTCTCAAAACAACAGCATCTGCCCCTTGTCATAGACTGGCTACAGGGGACTGTGTGTCCCCCATGCAGCCCATGGATGAAAGGGGAGAAATTCCTGTGAGTACAGCTGGGAGCTGACCCCCACTCCATACTGGATTGCTGACCACCCTAGAAGCTGCTCCCCAGATAAGAACCCTGATGTGGCCCAATGTCTAATACTTGTCCTTGATCCCAAGGGACATACCTTCAGGGCCTGGAGACTGAAGCCACCTATGATGCAGCCACCCAGGAGTTTGTGATTCACAGCCCCACAGTGACTGCCACCAAATGGTGGCCTGGGGACCGTGAGTATCCATGCAACCACCTTTACTATCTCTCCCCAGGGAGAACAAAGTTGGAGGGCACAGTAGCACTGGCTTTGAAGTCCACCAGACCTCAGATTGATTTCCTGTTCTAGATGGTGACCTTGGGCAAGTCAATTCACCTCCCTGAGCCTCAGGCTCTTACTCTCTCTATAAAGTAGGTGAGATGTTAAAAATTTCATTAGCAAGTGGCTGGGAGGTCCCCAAGGGAACTTTATTTTTTTTTAAATTAATTAATTAATTTATTTATTTCAAATATTCATGAGATACAAAACTGATTGTCCCCCCTCCTGCCCATGATGTAGGGGCCAGATTCATATTGGAGACATACCCATTACCAGAAATTGCTTTTGTACCCTTGGTCCCCTTCCAATTATCCCCAACCTCTCTCCTCTTCCCCCTCTCCCCTCAACTTCAATTTGTAGCCCTAGGACTGTTCCCTCCCTCTGTTGGATCATGGGACTACTGTGGTCTTTCTTTCCTGCCTTCCTTTCTCTCTTAGCTCCCACAAATGAGTGAGCACATGAGATATTTATCCCTCTATCCTTTGCTTGTTTCACTCAACATAAGTTTCTCCAAGTTCATCCAGGCTGTTGCAAATGGGAATATTTCATTCTTTTTTATGGCAGAGTAGTAGTCCACAGTATATATATACCACACTTTCCTTATCCAATCATCCATTGATGGACATTTAGGTTGGTTCCATATCTTGGCTATTGTAAACAGAGCTGCGATAAACATGGGAGTGCAGGTATCTCTTCAACATGATGATTTCCATCCCTCTGGATATATACCCAGAAGAGGGATTGCTGGATCATATGGAAGATCTATCTGTAGTTGTTTGAGAAACCTCCAAATTGTTTTCCAAAGTGGTTGTACTAATTTACATTCCCACCAACAGTGCAGTAGTGTTCCCTTCTCTCCACACCACTTTAAAGTAGAGAGGAAATTGACCCAGCCTTTGGGGGAGGAAGGACAAGACCTCACACTCACACACTGCCCCCACACAGACACATGTGTGTGTGTACACAACACATGCACACATACGCACTTGGCCTAGTCCCAGGCACTTTCCACAACCCCAGTTTCTCTCTCCTCCCGAGTTAATGATTAAGCTTGCCACCAGCCAGAGCACAGGCCCTGTGGTTACACAGTTAGTGACAAAAACACCCCTCCCTGCCACTGCTACAGTCACCCAGAAAGGTGCACACCCACCACCAGCACCAATCAGACCACCTACGCCGTACCTCCCCCTGTGACCACCAGGTGGCGGCCACACCAAGCATCCCCAATGCTCAGTGATTTGCCAAGCCATAAGGAGGGGGTCCCATCAAGGCCCCCTTCTTCGTACTTGAGAATTCACCTTGGAGGACACACCTGTGGCACTTGGGGACCTAGTCAGTGAATGACTTTGTGTAGGAAAAAAACAAAACAAATATGAGGTGTCCAACTAAAGCAGAAGGAAAGTGACAGAGAGGGAGATTTAGAGAGGGAAAGACAAGTGAGAGAGAGACCACTGTCAAGACTGTAGGGAAATGAAACCAGCCTTTAAGATAGGGCAGACCAAGGTTCAAATCCCAGCTCTGCCTCCTCCAGGCCAGTGACCTTCAGCATGTCACTCCACTGTAAGCCTCAGTTTCCTTATCTGGAAAATGCGACTTATCATACCACACTGAAGAACTAGAAAAGCATCAGCAGAGGGTCTGGCACCACCTGGATTTTGATAATTGGTAACTATCTGTATTCATTATTATGAAGTTGATGACAGAGTGATTCATTAATAGTTTGGGGGGCAAAAATTAAAAAAAAATAAAAGCTTGCTCATTTCACAGTGCCTTTGCTGAGTCACTGCTGGGTTTGTTAGGTTCTTTGGGGGCAATTCCCCCTCTCTGTAATCAGTGACTTTTCAGGCCCCAAAGGTGCCCATCAGCAACCCCAGCCCCAGGACACTGGGTTGGGGAGCAGCAAGGAAGATCTGTGCCTCATCTCTCATCTCTCTGCCCTCAGTGGGACGGTCCACCACTCACGCCCTAGTCCAGGCCCAACTAATCTGCTCAGGGGCGCGGCGGGGCATGCACGCCTTTATCGTGCCCATCCGGAGCCTCCAGGACCACACCCCACTGCCAGGTAAGCCCATGCTGCTCCTTCAAGGACCTCTACCAGGAGGAGATCCCCCCCCTCACCGAAGGCCTCCCTGTCCTGAGGCCCCAGAGGTCCATGGGAGAAGCTGGGACAAGACTCCCTTGGGCAGGGAGGGATATAGTTGGACAGACTTGGTGCTAACTTGCTTGTTGACCTTAAGCAAGATTCAGCATCTATCTGACCTCAAAACAGGTGTAATAACTCCAGTGTCACGGGCTTCTGTGAGCTGGAATGTGTGCGTGGTACCGGGCACACAGCCAACACTTGACCAATGGACATTCTCATCTCCATCTCCTTCTAGGAATCACTGTTGGGGACATTGGGCCCAAGATGGACTTTGAACACATAGACAATGGCTTCCTGAGACTAGACCACGTGCGGGTCCCCAGGGAGAACATGCTGAGTCGCTTTGCACAGGTCGAGGGCCTGGGGAGGCTACAGAAATGTACTGCCTGCAGGAGGGACCTGTGCTTTGCACAGGCTGCTGCTGACTCTGGGTCCTTCTCCACTGAGCTAAGTTTGGGCCACACAGACCCACAGAGAGGCTCTGGGGTCCCACAGATAAGGGTAAAAACCCCCAGCTTAGGAGCAGTGTGATCTCAGGCAAGTCACTTTGCCTCTCTGAGCCTCAGATTTCTCATGTGTAAATGCTCATCACACGGGGTGCACAGCAATCTCAGGAGAGGGATGGGGCTGAGGGTGATATACTTAACAATTACCCAGTGAGGCCTGGACACAACTAATCACTGAACAGAGGCCAGCTGGGGTGCTGGCGGAAGTGTGGGAGTCCCCGTCTTGCCAGCCTTACCGCTTTAGTTGTGGTTGGGGGAGGTCCGGGCTGTCCCAGGAGAGGAGCTGTGAGCCAGGCCACTTGGGGAAGTGGCTAGTTAGCAGTGAGCACAAGCGTTCTGGTATTTTCACACACACGTGGCCACACCAGCGTGTTTCAGTGGGGAATCTGCTCCAGAGGAGAGGTGGAGGCCCACAGTCCAGGGGTCAAGGAGGAGGGAAGGCTGGGGAGCCTGGGCTCGGAGCCAGAGCCTGTGCTTGTTCCACACAGGTCTTGCCAGATGGCACCTACATCAAGCTGGGGATGGCACAGAGCAACTATCTGGCCATGGTGGTATCGCGGGTGCACGTGGTCCAGGGCGAGGTCCTGCAACTGCTGCAGAAGGCTTGCGTGATCGCCGTGCGCTACTCGGTCATCCGCCGCCAATCCCGGCTCCGGCCCAGGCAAGAGCATCCGGGGCTGATGGCCTCGGACACAGCTACCTCTCAGTCCCACAGTGCCCCAGACACCTCCCCACTGTCAGAGCCAGGGCACGGGGAGCAGGCATCACCCGCCACCCACCCACCCACCCTTCTACCTGCCCACACACACAAAATCTGCCCAGACCCAGCCCCAGCTGGCCGTATTGGTGGACTCTCTCCGGCTCCCTCTAACCTGGCTAACCACTGGCCCAACCTGTGTCTGCCCAGCCCCATCGGGTAGGGCTCTGTGTGATCGGATGTCTTTGGCCCTGTACCACCAGATCTAACTCAGTGTGTGTCTGTCTGAGTCCGACTGTGTTCTATACAGCTGTGACTGGCTGAGTGAGTCTGTGTTAGCCAGTGGCCAAGCCACATCTGACAGTGTCTGGCAAAGCCCAGTTGTCACATCAGATTGTATGTGGCTGACTCCTTCTGTCTGGCTGTGACTGTCAGCATTTGATTATGGTATGTCTAAGTCTGGGTCCCTTTTGTTGAACCTGGTTGTGTCTGGCTACCGTTCCCTCCACTCCAGGGCTCAGAACAGCAAGGGCTGACTGCTCCCTCTGTTTTAACCTGTGTACACACACACACACAGGGTTTCCACATATGGGATGCCCAGTTAGGTTTGAATTTGGGGTAAACAACGAATAGTTTTTTAGAATAAACATGTCCCAAATATCAGGATGCAGCAAAATGGATGACAGCAGAAATAGAGTGCAGAGTTGATCACAGTACAACTGAACTGTGGCACTGAGGAACAGGCTTCAGCTGGCAGTTCTCATCCCAGCTTTACTGACTGACCCCCTCTAGGCCTCAGTTTTCTCACCTGTAAGATAGAGTGAGATCACCAGGACTGAAACTTGAGAACCTGCAGCCCTAGAATCTAGTGGTGTTTCATGACATGGGCTCAGGTCCAGAATGAGTCTGATGCAAAATGGACTGAGGGTTGGATGCCAGGCAGACCTGGGTGCCACACTCAGCTCAGCCACTTCACCTCTTTGTCCCTCAGCTTCCAAAATGGGTGTGAGAGGAGCAGTCTTTCAGGGTGGTGTTGAGGGTGAAATCCAGTCAGGAATGCCAGGACCTCGTCCCGGGGTCCTTTCCTCTGGCAAACCCAGGGCTCCCTCAGTCAGCCTGGGCTTCAGAATCCTGGGCTGAGAGAGTGTTCTCTGGAGGACAGGGGTGCTGGGAGGAAGCTTCTGCTACTGTGAATGTCCTGCCCACAGCCCATTTATCTGGGTTGCAGAAGTGTCCCAAGGATGGTTACAAGAAGTACATGTCAGGTGAGACGCTGCTGCCACAGAGAGGAGACCCCAGGTTCCTGCCAGCTATGGGAGGCTTCTCATAATCACACCCTCTTTCAATCCCATTATTGCAGCCCCTACATGCTGGACACAGCCTTGGGCACTGAGGACATAGCAATGGATGAGGCAGATGCAGTCCCTTCCTCAGGTTTCATGGGACCCGAGTTCACATCCTAAGAGTCACTGTTTAGGCTCCAGCATTTCCCAGTACTTGGCAAGTGCTTGTGGGCAGTGAAAGGTCACAGGTGCAAATCACCAGTGGTGCAGGGGCACAACCCTTCACCCGAAATCTGAGGACCAGACATGTTGGAATTCAGAACTTTTCAGATTTTGACATATGGTGTGTATGCTGCAATTTTGTAAACCTCCCTCCACAAGGGCAGTACCCACAAACACATCAATATTTCTGCAGGGGAATGTATGGATTTTCATGTTAGATGGGGTCTTAAAAGATTATTAATAGCTTCATGTCAGTTCTAATCAAGTTTTGTAATGAGTTATAAAAAACTGTTTTTGAGGCTCTTATGATGTTGAGAATGTGGACATGGTACATAGCAATCTTCTAGATCCCCCACTTCTTTTCCCCTCAGTGACCAAGAGGCAAAAGTCCTGGACTACCAGACGCAGCAGCAGAAACTCTTTCCTCCACTGGCCATGAGTTATGCCTTCCATTTCCTGGCATTGAGCCTCTTGGAATTCTTCCAGCACTCCTACGATGCCATTCTGGACAGAGACTTCAGCCTCCTGCCTGAGGTACCTGCTGTCTGCTGGGGGCAGGTGCTGGGATGGCGGCTAGGATTATTCTACCCACTGGGTGTCAGCCACAGCGCCACTCCCATGGCCTTCCCCCCCTCTCCCTAGCCTTCCAACATCTACATAAATTCACCCAGACCTGGCCCTCAGAGAGCTCCAAAAATGTCAGAGGAAATAACCACACATAGTAGAGAACACTGGTCCACAATCCCCTTTGAAACCCAAAAAGCTCTGAGAACCAAAAGTCATTTGGAACACATTTGGTGGCACAGTTTATCCTGAACTGACTTGATTTATCCCACTGAGCTTGAATACTTTCTGTAGCCAAATATTAATGTGTTGAATCATTAAGCCTGCCCCAAACCTCACTGGGGGGTACCATCTGTAATATACTTTAAATGCCCTGCTTTACCTTTCTAAAATCCAGAAATTATTCTGATTCTATCTGGCCCAAGAGTCTCAGATAAAGCACCATGTATATCCCAATTTTACAGGTGAGGGAACTTCAGCACAGGGAAGTGAAGTCACATAACCTTCCTCCCAAGTACTTGAAAGCTCGAGAAATGGGTATAGGGGCTTTCAAGAGCCAAAATCTCAAACCAGGCCTGCTGCCTGGCAGTCCCTCTGTCTGAGTCTGCATGGGCTGCTGTAACAAAATACCGTAAACTGGGTGGCTCGTAAGCAACAGAAATTGATTTCTAACAGTTCTGGAGGTTGGGAAGTCCAAGATCAAGGCACTAGCAGATTTGGTGTCTGGTGAGGGCCCATGTCCTAGTTCATGGATGGCTTCTTACTGTGTCCTCATATGGTAGAAGGGACGGGGGGTCTCTCTCGGGGTCCATTTATTATAATCCCCCTAATGAGGGCTCCACCCTCATGACCTAGTCACTTCCCCAAGGCCCCACCTCCTAATATCACTCTAACCTCCCAAATAACACTGGGGGGTTAGAATTTTGACATATGAATTTTCAGGGGACACAAACATTCAGACCATAGGACCCTCCTACAACCCAGGAAGTGGGTTGACAGTGGACACCCATCCTCACAGGCCAGCTTTCCAAAACCTCTCCCTGTCAGCAAAATCCATAACTCCTGGAGGATGGTGGGCAATCCAGGCAGCACCTCCTAAGATCCTGGAGACACTAGCTGAGACAGGTTTTCCTTTGCTCTTCTTGCCCCTGCAGCCACATTGTGTAATTGTGTGATTTGGGTGAGTCACATAACCTCTCTTAGTCTCAGCCTTCTCATTCATAAGCTCAGTGAAATCCTTCTTTCCTCGCCGAGATGTGCTCAGCATGCAGTAAATGTTCATTTAGTGGGAAGCATGGCCCTTACACAACCTGAGCCCCAATTCCTGTTCTCCCAGCTCCACGCACTGAGCTCAGGTATGAAGGCCCTGGTGACGGACTTCTGCACCCAGGGAGCCGAGCTGTGCCGCAGGGCCTGTGGAGGACATGGCTACTCAAAGCTGAGTGGCCTGCCATCACTGGTCACCAAAGTGACAGGCTCCTGCACCTATGAGGGCGAGAACACAGTGCTGTACTTACAGGTGGCCAGGTAAGGTCCGGACTGGCCCAGGCTTCTCCCAACCCCTCGGGGACCCTCCAAGCTTCTGCTTGAGCTGAGGCTTCTGTCTGATGCCCACAAAGGGAGTAGGCTTTGGGAAACACCATTTGGGGGCTGTTCAATTCCGACAATACGACTCTAAGCCATCCACTTCTCCCCAGATCCACCGCAGCTCCCAGCCAGGCCACCGTCTTCTCTCACCTAGACAACAGCACCAGTCTCCTCACTGGGCTCCTGTCTACCATGCCCCACTTCTCCACAGGCAGTCAGAGGGATCTTGTCAAACCTAGAGAAGACCACATCTTTCTCTTGCTTAAAATTCTTCACTGGCTTCTTACGGCTCATAGGAAAACGCCACACTCCATGCTATGGCCTACGGACTCCTTACGACCCAGCCCCTGCCTCCCTGTCCTCCCTGTCCTCACAGCTCCCTGCTTCTGCTCACTTATACCAGCCACAGACTTCCTTTCCACCACAGGCCTCCGCTCTTGCTTTGCTCCCACGCCGCACTGCCTTGTTTCCTTGGAGCAGTTGTTATAATCTATCATTGCCTCATCTGGGTTTGTTTACTTTTTTAGCCCTGTGCCCCAACTAGACCAGGAGCTCCTTGAGGGCAGGGACTACCCCTGCCTTGCTCCCTGCGGAATCACGCAGGCTTTGCACAGAGCCTGCATGTAAGAGGTTCCAACCTGACAGGCAGGAAGGAACAGCCAAGTCTGCTGCCTCCTCTGTTTCCTTTCATTCCTCTCATGTCTGCAGGGCCTCATGGCTGGTCATGTCTCTCACACTCCCCTATTCTCAGGTGACTAAGCAAGGCAAATTCTTCCCTATGCCCAGAGAAAGGGGTTCACTGGCAAATGGGATATATGACATTTATGGGATTTTTTTTTTTCCTTTTTGTCTTTTTTCGTGTCCGGCAACGGATCGCAACCCTCAGTGTCGCGCCCGTACCGGACCGGGACCGGCAACGGGATCGCAACCCTCGGCGTCGCGCCCGCACCTCGCTCGGCCAGTGAGCGGGAACCGGTCTGTATGTGGGATCCGAACCCTTGGCGGGAGCGCCACCAGTGCGCCACCAGGCCGGCCCGGGATTTTTAAAAAATATATAACGTTAAGATTTTTTTTCAAATTATGAAAGGAATATAATAGCATGTTCTAGACACTCTGCACTCAGCACTGTGCCAAGCCTTCATGAACACTGTCTCATTCCGTTTCCACAACCCCCTATCAGCTGAGTATTATCATCTCCATCTAGAGGTGGAGAAACTGAGGCTTAGGGAATGAAGCTACTTCTGCAGTGTCACACAGGTCTCGGTGAAGCCGCTTGTGAATCCAGGGTTGTCTGAGCCCAGAACCTATAACCGCTGGATTATCATAAGCAAGCGGCTAAGAGTCACCTGTAATCCCATCGCTCATGTCAGCATTCTTGCATCTTTTTTCAGCTAAGAAAATTTAATTTCCACATAGTCACTGTACAAGTAATTACAAATCCCCAAATCGGAAGATCCTGACAGAAAAGATTCTGTTTGCTCAGATCTCAGAAAGGTTTATGTGCAGGATCTCAGCGTCTGCCCCAGCTCCACCACCCCCTTTCATTGTTGAAGAAACTATAGCCTCAGGGTGCGCCTCACTGAGGGCCTGGCAGGAGGATGGCATGCAGGGGGCTCTGGAGGAGGGGCACCGATCAGGAGCGAGGCTGGGCCCAGCGTAAGAGTGCGTGTCTCTGGGAAGGAGTGCTGGGCTGTCCCACAGAGTCCCTCACCATCTCACCTGTCTCCAACTCCACCCTCCAGGTTTCTGGTGAAGAGCTACCTGCAGACTCAGGTGTCCCCAGGCTCCACATTGCAGAAGTCTCTCCCTCAGTCTGTCGCATATCTCGCCAAGCCTGATCTGGCCAGGTGCCCAGCCCAGAGGGCAGCCGACTTCCTCTGCCCAGAGCTCTACACTACAGCCTGGGCACACGTGGCAGCCAGGTGAGCCAGCACTGAGAAAGCAGTCATCCCACCTGGGGATAAGCTCCTTCCCACACAATGGCCTTTGGATTGGTCAGTTGAACATTCGTGGATACACTTCTAAAAGCCACCCCCATCCCTAGCCTCCCTAAGTCCTCTCAGCTCCTGCCACCGTGGGCACAGAGAAGAGAAAGTCCCATACATCAGCCATGGACCACTGTCATTTCCCCATCCTGGTCATGGCATCTCTCTGGCCAATGAGAAGAATTTTTAAAATATTTAGGTTCCTATGGTGATTTATAATACAATGAATGTACCCATATGTAAATATAGTCATCCATCACTTAACAAAGGGAATACATTCTGAGGTTAGGCAATTTCATTATTGTGGGACCATCAGAGTGTAACCTAGATGGTCTAGCCTACTGCACACCTAGGCTATATGGTATAGCCTATGGCCCCCAGGTACAAACCTGTACAGCATGTTACTGTACTGAATACTGTAGGCAACTGTAACACAATGGTATCTGTGTATCTAAATATATCTAAACACAGAAAAGATACAGTAAAAATATGGTATAAAGGATAAAAAATGGTACACCTGCCATAGTGGATTGAATTATGTTCCCCCAAAACTCACTGAAGCTTGAATTGTGTCCCCCACATTTTATGTATCAGAAACTTAGCCCCCACTGTGACTGTTAAGAGGGTGGGAAATCCTATTACAGTGACTGAAAGGTGGAGCCTTGAAGTGGTGATTGGATTGTAGGGCCGTGCAGTAGTGAATGGATTAGAAATGGTGGTCAGGGGTGTGGTTCCGAGGGCTTCAAAAGAAGAGGAGAGTCTGTCTGTCTGCTCTCTCTGCTCCGCCATTTTCACAATGTGATACCCTGCCATCTCTGAAGTCATCACCAAAGAAAGCCTTCACCAGCTGTGTTCCCTGGACCCTGAACTTCCCAGCCTCTGAAACTGTAAGCAATAAGTTTGTTTTCTTATAAATTACCCAGTTCCAGGTATTTTGTTATAAGCAACAGAAACAGACTAATACACCTGTGCAGGACACTTACCGTGCATGGGGCTTGCAGGACTGGCAGGTGCTGTGTGTGAGGCAGTGAGTGGGTGGTGAGTGAGTGTGAATATCTAGCACATCATTGTGCACTGCTGTAAACTTTATACACACTCATCACTTAGGCTATGCTAAATTTATTTTTAAAAATTTCTTCTTCAATAATAAATTAACCTTAGCTTACTATAACGTGTTTACTTTATAAACTTTAAACTTTTAAAAATTTTGTGACTCTTATAACACTTAGCTTAAAACACACATCACATTGTACAGCTGTATAAAATATGTTCTTTCTTTATATCCTTTTTCTATTTCTAAAGTTTTTATTTTTATTTTTTTACATTTTAAACTTTTTTGTTAAAAACTAAGATACAAACACACACATTTGCCTAGGCCTATGCAGGATCAGGTTCATGAATATTACTGTCTTCCACCTCTAAATCTTGTCACACTAGAAGGTCTTCAGGGACAATAACACACATGGAACTATCATCTCCTATGATAACAGTGTCTTCTTCTGGAATGCTTCCTGAAGAACCTGCCTGAGGTTGTTTTACAGTAAACTTTTTTTATGTATAAGTAGAAGTACACCCTACAATAACAAAAGTACAGTAAATACATAAAACAGTAACATAGTCATTTATTATCAAGTATTACCTACTGTACATAATTATGTGCTACATGTTTACATGACTCACAGCACATTAGGTTTACACCAGCATCCCCACAACCACCTGAGTGATGCATTGCACCAGGACATTACGAGGGCTACAACATCACTAGGTGACAGGGATTTCTCAGCTCCACATAATATGGGGACCACGTCATATATGCTGTCCCACATTGACTGAAATGTTATAAGGCACGTAACTGTACTACAAATGTATTGGTATGCAAATACCAATAAATAAAGCAATATCCATATTTTTGAAATATCTCATAATCTAAAAAGAATTTTCAAAAATATGACTATACCAAGGGATAGAATTAGTTTATTTCCAGGGTCTAGTAGGCTCCAGGGAACGTGAGCAAAAGCAAGGACTCATCCATTCTGTCATTCAATAACTATTGTCAGATACTGGATTAATCCATTGTCTGTTGCTTATAACAGAATATCTGAAACTGGGTAATTTATTAAAAACTAAAATTTATTTCTTACAGTTTTGGAGGCTGGGAAGTCCAAGGTCCCAGGAGCCTTCTTGGTGAGGACTCTGGAGTCCCGCAGCAATGCAGGGCATCACGTGTTTAAAGGGGGAAGAGCACCTGTTAATGTGCTCACTTGCTTTCCTTATGAAACCATCAGTCCACACCCATGATAACCCATTAAACCATTAGCTCATTGACCCATGAATGGATTAATTCTTTTCATGAAAGCATAGTCCTCCCTATCCAGTCACCTCTTAAAGGCCCCACCTTTCAACACTGCCACACTGGAAATCAAGCTTCCACATGAGATGTGGCGGGGACAAACATTCAATCCATATGAGGCACCTGCTATGTGTCAGGAATGACCAAACATGCTAGGGCTGGGAGTAAAGAGAGGTGCTGGCCAGACACAGACACCAACACAGAAAAGACGGAGAGATTTAACTACCCAGAAAAGAAACTTTCTGAACCCTGCCCCAAATTAAACACCAAAAACAAACTGGAAAAAAGCATTTTCAGTATATAATAAGAAGTCTTATATCCCAGCCTGTGGTCCCAGGAATAGTTAATAGTTATTTCAAGATTACAAGCAACTTGGGACATTCATTATTTATCCCACGAATACTTACTAAGTACTTACAGTATGCCAGGCACTGTTCTAGATACTGGGGATCTATCAATAATCCAGTCTGATAAAAAGCCCCGGGCCTCACAGAGATAACATTTCAGTTGGGGGAATTGAGCAGGGGAAAATAAGGCTGCTCAGGGTAATTAAAATGCCATTATATTTCTCTTTGCTTGGAACTCAAATGTGACATCTGCTTAACTATTCCCTGACAAAGCAAAGTAAATATTGCTTAATAAACAGTTTGCTTTACACGAAAATGCCAAGGGTCATGGGTAGACTGGCAAGGAACAGAAAATAAAAGGAGATTAAAGGTTAACAAAATGACAAATGACTAATTTAGTGGTTTGGAAGGCAAAGGTTGATTTTCCGTTTTTGTTTTTAGGTCCTTCAGGTAGAACTTGCTGGGTAAAACAGTTGTCTTTGCTCTGGTCATAGGAAGTCAGGCAACAAAATGGCCCGAAAACACCAGTACTGGGATGGAATCTGCATTAGAAAGCGGGGTCAGGCCATGGTCTGTGGCCCTGAGGCCTTACAACATGGTGGTTAAGGACAAGTCCAACTCCTGACTCTACTCCTTACTAGCTGCGTGAGCAGGACAAGTTCATTAACCTCTCTGGGACTCAGTTTCCCCCACCGTAAATAGGGAATGCCCACCCTTAAAAGGATTAAAGATAATGTATTTCCAGCATTTAGCTTTATGACACGTAAGTGGTCAAAAAACAGAAATTATTTCCACTTCTGAGGGAGCCCAGGCAGTCCATCAGACATCTTTTCCATGCAGTTAGGAAGCTAATCCTTTTTTTTTTTTCCCTCAGGCTCATAAAGGACTCAGTGCATCATTTGCAGACCTTGATGCAATCCGGGGCTGACCAGCATGAGGCCTGGAACCAGACCACTGTCATACACCTCCAGGCTGCAAAGGTGAGCTGCTGTCAGCTGAAGCTGAAAGGGACCCATTTTGTTTCCCAGGCAGGCTACCCTGCTGGGAAATTCTGAGCTCTGCCATTATTCCCCAGCCCTGCTCGGCGGCTGCCCTCATTTCACTTCCACGGCTTTAGTCCAGGGTATTTTAATTAAAGGACTTAACTCCAAAGCAATCTTGCTGGCAGCTCTTAAGGGAAAAGGTAATGAGGCAATGTTATTGGATTTGCTTCAGGTTGTTCAAATATTTCCTCCCAGACAGAAAAGCAGGTCAAGTCTCCCCTTAGCCCACAGGCAGTCGTTGGATGTCTGATTCAATTTCCACTATGTTTTGTGTTTGTGCATAATTCACAGTCAGTTGGTAAATATTTGAGCACCCACTCTGCACCAGGCACTGGGCTGGGTGCTCAACAGTGAAGCCATGCCCTTACACAGCTACAATCAAGCGGGCAGCGTGATGGGGAAATATAGGCTACTCTGAGACCCCAGAACCTAAGGAGTCCGAGAGGCTTCCCAGAAGAAGAGGCATATAGGCTAAGACTTCAAGGACGAGGTGAAATTAGCTGGCCAAAGGGTAGAGGGAGCAGTTTTGGAGAGGAAGGTTTCCAGATGAAGGGAACAGCAAGTGCAAAATGAGGGAGTAAGGTGAGGCATGGTGCTTGGGAGGAAATTCAGACACTCCCAAGGAGGACCTAAAGCACGACAACTGAAACAAGAACAGGGAGGAAAGTGGGAGGAGAGAGAAGAGACAAAGGCAAGGCCTGGGACCTCTGCACCACTGTGAGAAGTTTGGGTTTTGTTTTCATTGCCATGAAGAGCCTTTGCCCAGTTGGTATCAGGGGAGTGATCGGTGTTTCATTCTGGAAGGATCCTGAAGGCTGCAGGAGGAGAAATGGACTAGAGGCTGGAGGCCAATAAGGAGGAAGCAGAAGCAGTCTGACCAGAGCTGAGGTGGTCCCAACTACGAGCTTGACAGAGAGCATGGAGAGAAGTGGGTAGATGCAGAGATATTAAGGGGGTAGATGGAAGGGACAGGCCTCAGAGAGTGATGGGGGATGAGAAAGAGGTAAGAATGACTCCTGAGCTCTAGCTTAGGCAGCTGGGACTCTGGCCTTACCACAACTGGAAAGCTAAAGCAATCACTCCAATCCTCAGGCCCAGAAAATGGCAGCCTTAGAACAGGAGAGCCCTGGAGGACTGCAGAGGCCCTTGTGGAGCAGGGGTGTTTGGGCAAGCTGGGCATGAGCATCACCTGGTGACCCACCATCCCCACCACACCTGCCAGTACTGGTGTTAACTGCAACCCTCAGCTCAGCTCAGTCCACCCAAGGGGGACTCCCTCCTGCACCAAATGTCCTATCAACATTGAGGGTTAGCCAAGTCTTCATGCTCTCACCAGATTACCAAAAAAGGAACCATAGCCACCCACTGTTTCTTTGTCCACTTTCCAAACCTATGCCCTGCCTTCAAATGGACCAGATGCTGCTTGCCAGGGTTACTTCATTTAATACACACAATTCTGTGAGGGAGACTAGCATAATCGCCATTATAAGGGTGAGGAAAGAGAATTCAGAAAGTTAATTGCCAGTCATAGGAAATAGCTGAGTCAAGACGCTTTCCTCTCCCACACACTATGGAGGGTATGATGAGTGACTGAGATGAGCCCCAAGCTCTGGGGCACCAAAGGCGAGAAGTTCAGCCAGCCAGGGGAGAGGAGCAAGTCCGTGACAGCTTCCTGGGGAGGTGGTGCCCAAGCTGAGTCTCCAAGGTCATAATGGGTAGGGCATTCTGTACTTTCTGTGCTTTGTGGGAATCATCTACTCTACAGAAACCTCAAGCACCCAACTGGGTCTCAGCTGGAAACCATAAATGTGCAGGCAGAAAATGAATGCAAAAGTGGGGGAGAGGGTGGGAACAGCATTGGCAGAGTAGACAAGGAGGAGCTGTGGACTAAGTTCTGGTCCCAACTCTGTGTGTGACATGCCGTGTGACCTCAAGCAGTCCCTTCCCTCTCTGGGTTTTAACTTCCCTGTCTGTAAAACAAAGGGGCATGGAAGAGCCCTTTAGACTCTGGTCCTATAATCTCAGACTCTTTCCAGGAGAGATATCAGTCCCCAGGACCACTGTAGCAGATGCTGGTAGTCATTATAAGCCCGCTTCAGTCTCTGGTGGCTTTGGCAACATAGGAGTGGTGAAGAGTACTGGGTTTGGACCTCATTGCTATCACTTACTAGCTATATGACCTTGGGTGAGGAACTTAGAATCTCTCAGAACCTCAGTCTCTTCATCTGAAAAATGGAGCTAATAACAGTACCTACTTTGTAGGATTATTATAAAGATTAAATGAGTTAATACATGTGAAACTTAGAAAGGCACCTAGCATTTCAGTGCTACACCTCCAACTCCCACCCCCAAATTGTTAAAGAGGAGGCAAGGTTAAAAGCAACACACACACACAAAGTAAATAAAGTTCATTGTGCTCAGAGCGTGGTGGCCAGGTTTGGCTCAGCCTTTCCCAAAGTGTAGAGGCCCCCTTCTCTCTCTGGTCCTCATCCTGCTATGAAGGCAGAAGCCCAGGCCATCGGGCAGCTCTCCATCACTCCACTCCTCAACCTTGAGCCTTGACAATATGAGGATGTGGTCCTCAGGTTAGAACAGGAAAAGCAGGGCCTTGCAGAAGAAAGAGCGGGTCTCCAGCATTGCCAGGCTAGACCCAGTGTGAGCATGGAAGGCTGGCACAGCAAGCAGGGCAGCTCAGCACACCTGCTCGTCTTCCACATCCCTGTGCTGCAAACCCATCTAGGGTGTGAGCACACCAGGTCTAAGTGGCTAAGTGGAGTTGTCAGCACCTGTGTGAGGCCTACCTAAGAAAGGCAGGCTCTTTTCAGTTGAGAAACCTCATCAGGCCACTGCCCTACTGAAAACCATGATGACTCCCTGACCCACAGAATAAAATCCCGCCCCTATCATTCACAGCCCTTCACTACCTGGGCCCCTGGTATGGGTCCTCCCTAACTTACACAGTCCCCCATCATCACCTTGTTGTACACCAGTGCTTTAGGCCCATTCAATTGTCTGTAGCTTCCTAAAAGTCAGCACTTTGTACACAAAACTCCCCTTGCCTGAAATGACCTCTCTCCCATCCCCTGCCCCTTGGGTGAAACCCTTTTAACTCTCATGACACTCTAAGTCTTGCTACTTAAAGTCACTACCAGCAGCATGGGCATCACAGGGGAGCTTTTTAGAAATTCACAGTCTCTGGCTCCACCCTGCAACCTGCATTTTGACAAGATCCCTAGATGATCTGTATGTACATAACAACTCGAGACACACTGCTTTATACTCTTTCTTCCTCCCCCTCCCTCATGGAACTCATATCCTACCTGATAAAATAATTATGTGAGCTTGTCTTGGGGGGAGAAAGAATATTCAAAATATTTAACAAGCAATAGGACAGGGGCACTGACCAATCAAAAAGAACTTCAGGCCAGGGAAAGCAGGGTCATGAAGGCCTCTGGCTGGGTCAGGAATTAACACTTTAGTTACTGGGCTGTGGGGAGAGAGAGGTGGTCCCAGGAAAGGAGCCCATCTGGCAGAGGGGAGTCTCACCAGGCTGATGGCAGTGGTCACTTACCAACAGGCACCAAAGTATTATTTTAACAACTGACACAGACAGTTGCATATGGGCTAAATAACAGCATTGCTTACATCAAGGAGTTTATACTCTAGCTGGGATATATTTTGTATATATCTTGAACTCTCACTTTCTCACCCCAAGGTGCACACGCCTGTGCAGGCACACACGCATGCACACCACACACACATCCTCATGACTGCCTTGAACATGGCAGACAGTAAATAGCTATTTTCTTAAGAAAAGTAGTGTCATCTTCTTTCCCCAGGCAGCCTTCAATACTCCTGTATTCTTTCTCTCCACTATCAAACCTACTTGAAATTGCCCCAAGCAAAATGAGGAAACCAAGGGCCAAGTTTTAAAGCCCATCAGCCCCAACACACACACGTGCACATACACACACCATCAAAAAAAGCTGTCAGACCTAGAGTGAGCTGAGGGAAAAGGTGGCTGCTTGTCAGCCTGCTGGGAAACACATGGCTGTGGCAAGTTTATTCCAGCAGTCTTGCCAGCCTTCTAGAATGACTCCTGGAGTTGGAAGTCAGAATCAATGGCTAACACACCTTCGTGTTTTTGTAGGCACACTGCTACTATGTCACTGTGAAGAGTTTTAGGGAAGCTCTGGAGAAACTAGACAATGAACCAGCAATTCAGCAGGTGCTCAAACGCCTGGGTGACCTCTACGCCTTACATGGTATCTTGACTAACTCAGGCGACTTTCTCCATGATGGCTTCCTGACTGGGGCCCAAGTAGACATGGCAAGAACAGTCTACCTGGACCTGCTCCTCTTGATCCGGTGAGTGGCTGGGCCTTCAAACCACATTAACCTTCAGAGAATAACCCTAGACCCTTGTTCACAGGTCACTTCAAACTCCAAAATCTTGCTACGTGGGGGCTGACAAAAGCTGCCCTGGAGAGATTTATACCCTAGCATTATTACACCAACACAAAGCATTAATGAAAGCAAAAAAATGGGAAATAATTAGTCATAAAAATGCTTAAGAATGAAGTAGCTACCTCAATTCAACTCTTGAACATTGTTAAGGAAACAGGAATAGAATCTAAGGAATATGAATAAAATGAAGCATACTGCCTATGAATAATATGTGTTAATAACAATAGCCTTAAATGCTCCTTAAATGTTAACTTTGATTAGGTGCCAGGCATTGTGCCAAAAGCTTTTACGTACATCATCTCATTTAATCCTTATAGCCCTTTGAAATGGATACTACTAATCTCGCCGTTTTACTAAGGAAGAAATTCAGTCTTTATGGAAATTAACTTGCCCAGTGTCACACAATTAGTCAGAGGAGGAGCCAGGTACAATCTCAGGCCAGTCTAACCCTTGAGCATGTGCTCTTAACCTGTATGTTAAGATTAAGGTATTATTTATTTCAAACATAACTCTGTCTTTGTTGAATGTACTTAAGCAAATTCTTACCAAGTTTAGTAAACTTACTTTAATCCTCCCTCAGCTTCAAGATAAATTTTATTTAAAACTCAGTAATTCGTATATTGATTTGTAAAACAATAATACAGTTTTTAAATGCAGATTAATGCAGTGCAATTTAAAGTTATGAAATACTGATGCAATGCTTTCATCCACTTATTTTAAATGTAACCTAAATAATTGCTTTACAAACATATCAAACCCAAAGCCCAACCTGGCCAGGGTACTGGAAGAGACAAAAATTAAAATAATACAAATTATTTACCATTGTCAATAAGATAGAAAATATGCTGAGAACACAGCCTTTTTGAGACCTCACATGACAAAAAATATGATGCCTATTGTATAGGGATTGTGGTGTGACTTTTCCCCTAGAATGTCCAATAGTTCTTATTATCAACAAGACTGAGAATAAAAAGAAAAAAAGTTTTGGAATTTTTTTTAAAATAAGATTTTCAGGGTTGGCTAACCAGCTCAGTTGGTTAGACACGGTGTTATAACAGCAAGTTCAAGGGTTTGGATCCCCTTACCAGCCAGCTGCCAAAAAAATTTTTTTTAATAAAATTAAAAAATAAGATTTTCATGACAGACATTAAAAAAACTAGACCAAATTATTTTTATTTTTAACAATATGTTTGTTATATGTCATTTATGACTATACATAAGCACCTAACAGATACTTGGTGGTCAGCAAATATTTTTTCAATTAAATTATCAAAAATTGTCAAAAATATATCTGATACAATTATGCCCCAGGTATTAAACTTTCCCTAATATAGGAAATCCAGTGGTAGAAACCATTAAGAGTATAATTAAGTACAGCACAGTATGAGCCCAACTGTGTCTAACTTTCTGAAATGCTTGGCATTTAAGAGCACATGAAGAAAATAACATTCTAACCCTGGTTGGCAGTGATAATAAAATATAAAAGATCACCTTAATACCTCATAAGCATTTTTTTTTAATCTGCAAATAGCATTTCTAAGTGCTTGCCTTAGCTCCAGAGACTTACAATTCAAGACGAGACAGACAGCACTGATGCAAGCTGCCAACTTACGCATGCATCAAACCCACAAATTGATTTACTTACATTATGACTCCTAAGTAACCTTACTACTGTAGGGTAATTAGGTATGTAACAGATTCCATGCTTTTAACAGTTCTGTGTCATAGTTCCATGCCTTGATTAGTCATTATCTCCCTCAGATTTCTGAGATGACAAATGGCACACTCTTCTAAGTGACACCAAGAACCAGCTTTCTGTGTAATATTAATTAGTTAAGTGGTCATAAAATCTCAGCTGGGGGACTTCCAGGTAAAGATGGTAGATTGAACATATGCATTTACTTTTGTTCCTTCCTGAAACCCTATTAAAACATCAGTAAATGGATTAAATTTTTTTAAAAGGCACAAACCCACAAAGAGAAAGAGAACAGGAGAGGAATCATGCAAGCTGAAGAGTAGATGGATATATAATGACTTAACAGAAAAGTCACCCAAGAGAACCCCAGGAACTAGCAGCACTATGCATCTCTGGCAATGTGGGTGAAGGTGAGACTGACAGGATGGTTGAAAGTCTATTTCAGAAGGAATTGGATCTCCAGTTCCTCTCCTCCTCTGCGAGTAGTTTTAAGACTTTCCTTGACCCTGCCCTGGCAGAAGGATAAACAGAGGGTCTGTGGACTAGGGAACATGAGACATAGTTGAAGATGAGGCTACCCTAAAAAAAACAAGGAGCTTTATATGCCAAATGCTGATACCACCCTCCCCCAGCCCTCTTTTCTCACTGGTTCCTAGAGAATTGGCAGACAGACTAGCACACTGCAGGAAGACAATAAGACGATCCTTCTCTAGAGTGTCTGATCTGCCAAAGGAGGAGCTAAAGATACTGACACCAGAGTTCCCCAACTGTCCACCCAATTCACCCCACAGTGAACCCACATTAACAAGCCTGCCCACAGTCTCACCAGCTAGTTAATGTCCCACTCTTTGCTATGATCACTCAGGGATCACCAGACACCTGAGGAAAGCCCTTAACATAAAAGAAGACCAAAACAAGCCAGAACAAGGCAACTCAGAGAACTGATGAGAATCTGCAGGGAGAAGAAAATTTTTTTTTAAAAAATCTGTAATATCTTCAAAGAGCTAAGAGGAGATACTGCAACCACAAAATAAGCACCAGAATGTCGTTATTTAAAAAGTAATATTCAGAGAACAAAAAAAGAGCTCCTTAAAATTAAAAAGTGATAGTGGAAATGAAAAACAACTTAAGGATTGGAAGATAACGTTGCAGAAATCAGGCAGAAAAAAAGCAAAAAGACAGAGACAAAATAGGAGAGAAAAAAATGTTTGAAAGTAAGTAGACTGATCTAGCTGTCCATCATCTGAAAAACAGGTCTAGAAAGAGAAGACAGAGAAAACAGAAGAGAGCAAATCATTAATAAAATAATTCAAGACAATATCCCTCAAATAAAGGATATGAGTTTCAGATTGAAAAGGGCCACAAATGCCTACAGATTAGAGGAGAAAAGCACACGCACACGCACACACATGCACTAAATCAAACATATACTGTATGAAATGGTAATAAGTGCTATGAAGAAACGAATAGCAGGAATGGGGGATAAGAAATGCTGGGATGGAGGTGGGGCTGCAGTTTTAAATAGGTCACAGAAGGCTTCCCTGGTACAGTGACATTTGAGGAAATACCTGAGGGTGGGGGAAGAGGGTAGGGTGAGAGAAGACGTGTGGCTGTTAGGAACAGAGGATTCCAGGCAGAGCATGAGTACAAATATTAGAGGCCAAAGTGTGCTTTGCACATCCATCCAGAGAGCAGAGGAGAAGCCACAGAGGTGGGAGTGCGGGATTAAAGTGGAGAGTGAGAGCAGAGGTCAGAAAGTTCAGGGTGTATAGGGAGGGGCAAGAGAGGGTAGGTAGATCATTGCAAAGACTGAACTTTACTTTGTGTAAGAATGAGAGGGTCCACGTGCAGACGTTAGTAAGCAGGTAAGTGACAATGGAGGATAAATTTGGAAGTCATTGGCGTATGGTTGATATTCAAATCCATGAGAGGGATGAGTGCAAGGAGAAAGATAATAAGGAGCTGACCTTGACAAGAGCTACTTCAAGTGGAGTGGCGGGAGTGAAAACCTGAATGGATCCAGTTCGGGAGAGAATGGGAGGATGGGAAATAGCAAGCATAAGTGGTCATAACACTTTCAAGGATTTCCGTCATTAAGGGGAGCCAAATATGAGGTAGATGATGATAAGGGAAATAGAGTCAAAAGCTTGTCTTTAAGATGGGAGAAATGATAGCACATTTGTACACTGACGAAAGTGATCCAGTAGAGAGAGGAACTTTCATATTGTAGGGAAAAGGCAGGAGAGTTTCTGAAACATTGTTCTCCAGTAGGCATTGTTTTCTAGTAGACAAGGAAGGGCTGACTAGACTAAGCTGGGAGTCTGGACAGTTGTCCTGTACTAAGAAGAGAGAAGGCACTGTATATGTAAATGAAGGCATGGAAACTCGTGGAAATTCTTACTGCTTCCACTTTACCAGTGAAACAGGATGCAGAGTCATCCAGGTAAGAGAGATGCGGAGGCAAGTAGTGTGGATTTGAGGATCAAAGAAAAGATATGAAGAATCACCTAAGAATGTAAAACTCGTGGAAATTCTTACTGCTTCCACTTTACCAGTGAAACAGGATGCAGAGTCATCCAGGTAAGAGAGATGGGGAGGCAAGTAGTGTGGATTTGAGGATCAAAGAAAAGATATGAAGAATCACCTAAGAATGTAAGAGCGAATGAAAGAGTAAACAAACTACAGCAATGTAATAGGCTTGCTGAGCAGCCATCAAGGCCCAGTGAACCCTTATTATACCAGTCAGGATTGGTTTTTCCAGCCACACATAGCTACAAAGGTGGTAGCATGAAGTCACTGGAAAATTGGAGATAATGAGGGATGGGTTCTGGGCCCAGTGAACCCTTATTATACCAGTCAGGATTGGTTTTTCCAGCCACAGATAGCTACAAAGGTGGTAGCATGAAGTCACTGGAAAATTGGAGATAATGAGGGATGGGTTCTGCTAAACTAGTATGACAAAGCAAGAAAAACTGAATATTTTTGAGGAAGTGAATATAATGGATCATGGAATTTCAGCTAGATAAGGAGGGACATGAGACCACAAGGGGGAGAAAGTACATTGAATAGGTGGTAGGGCTCCTAATGATGATAAGGGGTTATCTAGAAAGGAGTAAATTGGGTACAGTATCCCAGTCATCTCAAATGCTTTGATGACATATAGTCATGATGTTTACACTGAATATTGGTCTGGCCAAAATTATAACTATATTGGGAGGCAGGAAGCCAAGCGGAGGAAGCAGCAGGGTGGGGGAGATAGGGATAAAGAGAGGAGTGCTAAAAACAAACCCTTACCATTTGTAATAGAGAGTCAACAGATATCCAAAACTGAACTATCAAGAAGTGTCAGTACAAACAAGATATTCAGAGGCATTCAGGTAATACCAAAATATCAGCTAAAAGATTGAAACTGATAACCTCTGGGGAGAGGGAAGTAGGGGTGAGAGACAGGGATATGCTGTTTTTTAAATAACGATCCTTAAGGAACTCTTTGACTTTTTATACTATGCAAATATAGCTAATTAAAAAATAAAAACTAAAAAATAAATAAAGCTGAATTGCTTGAAAAGTGAATAATGATGCAACCTCTAATTAGGTGGTGTTATTCACCATCCCAGATTAATTAGATTCATAAGAGCAATCTAAAATACTCACAAACTCTTGTTTCTTCTCTTAGGAAGGATGCCATCTTGTTAACTGATGCTTTTGACTTCACCGATCAGAGTTTAAATTCAGCACTTGGCTGTTATGATGGAAATGTCTATGAACGTCTCTTCCAGTGGGCTCAGAAGTCACCAACCAATACTCAGGTAGAGTGGAACGCATCATAAATTATGTAAGAAAGCAGAGAACAAGCAGTGAATACACCTCCATGTTTTCCCATTTCAATTGATTCCCATTAGGTTGGAAATCACTTGGCATAGCGTGTCTGTTTAAAATATTTTTAGAGAATGCATAAAGAAACCAGGAGTGGGGGTGTGCCCGGGACGGAACTCCGAGCCTAGACTGTAATCAGCAAAATGCACCACTCAGAACTTGGTAAAGGGAATTAGGAGGAAGGCCCAAGCTCTAAATCATGGCTTGACATACCCAAGGGCATATACACATAGTTGCAAACTGGCTTTTAAGTAACAAAAATAAGATAAATCACAGCAGTGATTTAACCATACTATTTTCAGCCTTTAACTCAGTTTTTTATAGATAAAAGTGGGTATTCAGAGGTGATAGAAAGCTTGTAGGGTGTCTGTATCAGACCTGACTGCCTGCTAGAAATACCTCCCTCCTTTTCGTTCTAACATACACAATCCCAGGAGCAAATCAGCCCAGGAAAGCCATATAAATGACAATTAAAGGGTTATGGCAAAAAGATTCCCCGCTGTCCTAGGAGAGAATACCAGAACTCTATCTCATTAACCACGGGAAGAGGGAGAGAACTTTTAAAATCCCAACATTCTAGGGCCAGGGTCCCAGACTTTCTGCTATGAGCCTCATTGGGAAAAGTTACGAATGTTAATAAATACATTAACTGGAGTGAAGAAATAAACCCTGTACTCAGAATTTGGGGAACCAACATTTAATAGCAGAATAACAGAGGACCAAAACAAAGAGTCTGTAGGTACACAACAAATTATTTTAAGTTGTATAATGTAAATGTTATTCAGATGGTGAAACTTTTATATCCTCAGTCCAATTTCAGAAAAGGTGTCTTAACACCTCATCAAATTGGCAACTCTCAGGCTTTCATTCACACTTAGCATTGTGTTAGACTCACTCTTAACAATTTGCATCCTGTCATACCTCATAGCTTAATTTAACATGATTATCCAGTTATATCACAATCAGTTACCCCCAAGATGGTTTTCAGATAGAAGGCCAATCCCCTGTGGCCATTCTCTGCCCCCAGGAAGGCATCCTTTTAACTCAACAAGGAAATACGAACAACTTACCTAAAGAAGGCATACGTTTACTGCCTAGTATAGTTAACCTACTTCTAGTGTTTTACTTTTTCTAATGATTAAAGCTCTCTACTTTCTAACATTTAAATCCTGGCATGAAAATACAGCAGTCCTCCTACTCCAGACTACCGCCCATGGTCTAAAGATAAATGTATGCCCTTTGATGCTGCAGAGAAAAAGCCACCCTGCTATAACACCTGTCGAGAAATGCTGACATATATAGCTCAAACCTGTTTTACTGGCAACACAGGAAACATTCGTTCTCCCACCCCTCATCTTCACTAAAGAACATAGGGAGTAATCTGGATACCATATGAGAGCAGGCTTATCTAAATGAGTAGCATGACTGACCCACAGCATCAATAGATTTGATAAAATGTTGATGCATTTCATCCCATTCATTTTTCTCTATCTCCTTCCACTTGACTGTGAAAAAGGATGGACTCTTCACCTCCTAAGTCCAGGATCTAACACAGAGTAGACGCTCAACATTTACAGAATAAACAATCATGGTTTTATGACCTCAATGGTGAGATAAAGGAACCTGCTGCATACACAATGCCACAGACCTCATCATCCTAGCTTACATTACCTTGCTAAAAAGGTGACAGGTACAGCAATGTGGCTCTTTCATGCATGGCAGTTTAGGAATGTGAGGTTACAAATAACCTTGGAGAACTGTTTCCAGTTAGTTAAAATGACACTTGGTTGACTGCTAATATGTAGCTACATGATCTTACAACACATTTCTGGCTCCTTTAGAGAACACTAAAATAGCACTTCTAAAGTGTATTTTTCTAACCTTTGGTGGATAATTTTGAAGATGTAATAAAAGACACTTTTCCTCATTTGCACTAGTAGAAGGAGGCACACTACAGGTGTTTCAAATAAATTAAAACAGCAGCAATGTTGAAACATGCCCTGCAGACACAAAAGTACAAAAGGGAATATATTTAACCTGATATCTGTCTACAAAAAGAAAAATGCTATGCTAAGTTAAACTATGCTATGATTCTCCTAGAATCATAGGAGAGCATCTTTTCTATCTGGGACAGGTTGTGTTGCGCTTTCTCCATAGGCAGGATGATGTGTTCTCTCTCGGTTTACTCTAGCCATTATGTCCGCTTTTTGGCCTTTTTCTTGATCTGGATGCTATTTCAAGCCAGTTTCTTTCTAAGATGAACTGCAAAAGACTGTTTCCCTTCCCCACATGAACTCATATCTAAGCGATTCCCTATAAATGCAAGTAGTAGAGGAACCACTGGGATAATTTCAAAACAAGAATCCTATTGCCCCCCAATTATTCTATTGTTAAAATTTGTCTAAATGGTAGTTAGATGTCTTAAACACATTTACTGATTCATTCATTCAGTCATTCAACAATTGTTTACTGAGCACATGCTACGTGCTAGAAATTGTTTTAGGCACTGAGGATACAGTGAAAAACAAGTTGTAGACCCTGTGGTTCAAGGAGCTTACAGTTTTAGTGCAGACAGGCAAAAAAAGTAAATAAACAAGTAAGTATTATAAAAGATGAGGCTAGAGCTGTGAAAAAAAGAACCAAGACATTGCATTAGGGAATAATGGAGATAACCTATTCTGATATAGAATACTGCTTTCCTGATTCCACTTTCTGGTTCCTTGCTTTGTGGTTAGTGTTCAGTTTCAAAGAGCCTAAAAGAGTCACGCCCTTTATTTGTATTCCAAGACATTGCATTAGGGAATAATGGAGATAACCTATTCTGATATAGAATACTGCTTTCCTGATTCCACTTTCTGGTTCTTTGCTTTGTGGTTAGTGTTCAGTTTCAAAGAGCCTAAAAGAGTCACGCCCTTTATTTGTATTAAGTTCCAAAAGTAAATGATAAGCTGTGTTTTTAATTAGCCACCTGCATCACAATTTAAAATCTGCAGGAGAAAAGAAAGGATGCCCTTTGGAAAAAATGTTTCTCCATATGTTCACACAAAATGAATTTTTAAAATAATCAAAAAAATTAAGAATTTTATGTAATGTTATTTTTTTGAAGCTAACGACTTCATTTGAAAGTGATTAATCCTAGCAGAAATATTGTCTTAATAATGCATTTCTTTCTACAAACAGGGGAACCCTGCCTATGAGAAATACATAAGACCACTATTACAAAGTTGGAGGTCCAAGCTATGAAATAACCAACAGTATTCAAGAAGCAAGCAGTACCACTATGTGATAATGGTACTATGGCATAAATATAAAATTAAAATTTTAAATTATATACGTATTTTTTTAGAGAGTTATGTTTTAGACAGTCTGAAGTAATACGTATCTGTGAAATAATGTCTGTGATTTACTTCAAAATAATCCACAGGAGGAAAAAGGGTGAGTGAATAATTGTTGAAGTTGGTCAATGGGTAGGTACCTGGGTGTTCATGACACTATTCTCTGTACTTCTGAATATGTTTGAAATTCCCCACAATAAAAAACACTACTACTATCCAAATGTAGCATCTATTTTGGTTAAATACGAGGATTTTGTTTTAGATCTAGCAAAAGCCAGTAGATTCATTAGTCATCACTTGTCTTTAGCATTTATCCTTGGGTTTAAACAGACTCACACACATGCACACACACAGTCCTCCAAAAATGCCTATAGTTGGTGTAATCGAAATAAAATAGAGAGCCCTAAGAATGCAACTAAGTATCCATTTTTAAAAATCAATTCTTCCAGAGTTAAAATAATTTAAACTTTCATAAAAACAGATATAATTGTCTCAAATTACCCAAAAACAATCAATCTAAAATTTTCATATCATCTTCAATTATCCAACTAGATAAAACACTCAAAATTAAATATCACTAAATTAAATTGCAAAAATATCTCAGCTGGCTACTTTTCTTACTTTACTCCTATAAACAATCATTTAGTTGTTAATAATTAGTAAATCTGAGAAAATCTACCAAAAGCAAACTTATCTCCAGTAAACTGAGCAAGGAAGAGACTTTGAAAGTTTTTAACTTTTAAAAACTTGGAACAACTAGTAGTATCACTCCTATTTCTACACCTGTTTTCAACCCAAATCATCTTACTTCATATAGACCTCGGCTAGCTCAACACATACCTGGTTGGGGTTTTTTTTTTTTTTTTTTTAGGTAACCATCAATTAACTTGAAATAGGAGACGATTTTCTAAAATAATAACCTCATACTAGTACACTGATTTACTGAAACCTGTCGATAACATTAAGGGATCTTGGTTTGAAGATGGTAAAATGAGGTAATTACAGGTTTCTGGATGTTGGTCATTTATCAGATCTTAAATTTTCAGAGACATGGGCAGAAATAGATGTTAAGTGTTCTCATCTTCTTTCAGAGACAGAATCTCAGAATCTTCTCACAGAGAGGAGAAAAGGAATGGCCTGCCTGCCCCAAGGCACATGGCCTCAGAGCTCCACTGTTCCCTTAGAAAACAAAGAAGAAATCATGGGACTTACTTCTATAAGGTGTTCTAGCAAACTAGGAAGTCTCACTATAATTAACATAATCCTCCCTGTAACTTTCAAAAAATAGAATCAAACTATGCATGACTACAGTGACTACAATAAAATAAAGTACATACATTTCCCCAACTGTTCCAGATTCTTCATTCACTGTACTTTATTTCTTCTCATAAACATATTTGTGGGTCACCACAATACACTAGAAAAAAGTAGCTAAAGAGTAAATTTGTCCCTGTGCTTATCACAAAGCTGAAATAATGGTCACATTCAGAGCTATGACAATTGAAGAAAAATCTATAATCTTCAACATTAAGTCCTATTTGAAAAGATTTGTCAAACTGTATATTAACCACTCAAATATGCATTCTTTTAGACAAAATTCTAGCCCCCCCTGCTTCAATGACACCATAGCATTCTTATTAACTGCAACCTAAGGTCCTCTCAAATCAAATACAAATGCACTATAGGCAGTATATATATATATATATTGGGACATAAAACAACGTATACTTTAGACAAGAAGTAAGATTTTCCCCCTTAAGTAATAATAAATACAAACCTAATATTCATATTTCATTTTTTTATTAGTTTTTTTTTTTTTTTTCCTGGTAGACAGTACACTTGGGAATTATACTGCACCAGGCATAAGAAGTAAGATTTCTACCACAGGGACATTTTGTATTCAGAATCCAATATAAATATTTCTAGTCAGACATTTCCATGGCTACAGATATTTGGTTGCTTGATTTATATGCATAGAAAGAAACAGTTATAATAACTGTAAAAAGCAGTACTTAACAAGTACTTTTAAATGATAGGAACAGTTTTCCTTTAATATTACAATACTTCTTATTGGTTTGAAAACCAGGTCACCCTACATGATGTTTTGATTGTTCTCAAAGGCATCATGAGTACTCTGCTTATTCTTTCATGCTTGTATCTTTAGCCTTCTAGCTGAGTTAGGGACCTTTTTATCAGAAATCATTTTAGCACTGTAATAAAAAAAGCTCCGTTAAGGGCAGATTATATACCATAATGATTCTTTTTATAAAAAAGGTATCTGGAAACTCTGTACAGGCACATGCATACTCAGGGTGAAGGGAACAAAACATGGAGTCTGCTAAGCACAAAACTTTCTTCTGGTCCTCAATGTCTTCAAATAAATACAAATAATGATTAAAAAAGAATCCCACACTGTGATTTAAAGAAAAAAAAAGTCTCTTCCATTTCCTGGAGAGTCAGTTTCCAAGAACTTCTCTCAGGGTTGGAGATCAGTCATCTGTCTTCCGGGCCAGTCTACAGAAAGTCCAGTTGTGCTCCACTGTGTTCTCATTGGCCCGCTCACTCATGTGATGCACTCGGGTGTTGCGGATTGTGAAACCTTGCTTTGTAATGTATTCCATCAGGTGGACCCGGAGAGAAACTTCCTGGTGATAATCACAGGGTCCAAAAGTAAAGGAAACCTGGCAGTCTCTGGTGTCCATCATGTGCTTATTCCACTTGGTAAAATAATTTGAGATGCCTTCTAGTAAGGAATGGACCTTGGTGGTGATGGTTAGTTGGGTTATGATGACAGCCACTGGGTTGGAGTACTTAGAAAGCTTCCGAGTACTAGAGAGCTCCACAACTTCTTCAAAAGTATCCATAGGATACAAAGGCTTAGGGTCATTGAGACACTGAATCAGGGGCTCAATCTGGTAAAAATCTGCCTCTTTCCGAAGCAGGTCAAATTCCTTAAAGTCCAGGGGTAAGGTTAACTCTGAAGTTCTTAAGAAGTTGAGGACATATCGGAAAAGAGGTCCATCTCGATCAATGAAGTAATTGCCTTGAGGGTCTCGAGCTGTTGGGAAGTCCCCCCCAAACATAGCTCCAAGCATGGAATCCGGGTAACGTGTCAATGTGGTGAGAGACGTTGTATACAAGTGTCCACCTACATTTAACGTGACTGGGTCAGTCATCTGAAAATTTAAAAAAAAAAAAAAATCAGTTATCTGAAATCTTTTAAATTTGTCACTTTGACAAATTAAAAAAAATAACAGTAATGAGCAAAGCACAAGATTCCTTCAGGCTGTAACAAACGTATTTAGCAATCCTATAATGCAAAATGGCTTCACTTTCAGTGATAAGCCACCCAGATGAAGGGATCTAATGTTTGCTTTCAAGAGAGAAAAAGAAGGATAAATCCAATTCTTTAAAGACCTACTCTAAGAATGGAGGGCATGACTTCAAAAGCCATATAGTTTCAGGCCCAGTACCTACAGAGTTTTCAGGTCAGAGTATATTATGGGAAGAAAAAGCCAAACTAAAATAGAGATGCTCCTTGATTTACAATATGGTTACGGCCTAATAAACACACCATAAATTCAAAATAATCTAAATGGAAAATACATTGAACATACCTAATCTACCAAATATCATAGCTTGGCCTAGTCTAGCTTAAGGGTGCTCAGAACCCGTACATTAGCCTATAGTTGGGCAAAATCACCTAACAAAGCCTATTTTATAATAAAGTATTGAATATGTCATGTAATTTATTGAATACTATAGTGAAAGTGAACAGAATGGTTGTATGGGTAATCAAAGTACGGTTTCTACTGAATGCATATCGCTTTCACACTATCATAAAGCCAATAAATCCTAAGTCAAATCATTGAAAGTCAGGGACCATCTATATACTCTTTAAAGTTTTTTTCTGATTTTTAAAAATAGACTTCATTTCTCTTAACTCAATTTAACATAAGACAGAATAAAAATATCTGAAAATATAAAGATATCTACTTTCTTTTTTTTTTTTCCTTTTTGTCTTTTTTCGTGTCCGGCAACGGATCGCAACCCTCAGTGTCGCGCCCGGACCGGGACCGGCAACGGAATCGCAACCCTCGGTGTTGCGCCCGCACCTCGCTCAGCCAGTGAGCGGCCGATCTAGTATGTGGGATCCGAACCCTCGGCGGGAGCGCCGCCGCACTCTCAAGCAGCGCACTGTAGCAATCTAGTATGTGGGATCCGAACCCTCGGTGGGAGCGCCGCCGCACTCTCAAGCAGCGCACTGTAGCAGTGCGCCACCGGGCCGACCCAAGATATCTACTTTCAATATTTCTTTGGGTTTTTTTCCTCCTCAAAAAAGGGGAACAAATCATGAAATTTATTTTAAAAATAAAAAACTGAGCAGACCTAATATTGATAACTATTTCATAAAAATAATAGTTTCAAATACTAAGAAACAACATCCATTTAGTCAACACAACCTAGCCACAAAACCATCAGATATCCTGAGACTCAACAGCAGCTTTAAAATTTCATAATCTGAAAGTGTATTCACTTTTGTAACATTAATGTTACAATCTGGCCTTTAATTTTGAGAAGGAAGCTTATCTAAATAACACATACTTTCGGTTTTAGGAATCATGTTTAAAAATAAATAAATAGATAGACTTCAGGTACTAGGCAAAGTAAAATATTTCTTACCAAAGGAACAGAAAAATAGAGAGACATATGCATACACAAAAAAGGGCAAGGGGGAGAAAAGGCACCTTCTCAGCCAGTAATCTCCCTAACCACAAGAAAATGTCGTATATACCATCTACTAGACCCTTTTAGTAGTCACCACTCCATGAAGAAAGAGTTTTAAGAGCAACATAAAGACCAAAAAATTGTTATTGCTCAAAAGAATGATTACAAAAACTGAGTTTGCTTCCATTAAAACACCAAATGAAACAAACCCCCTCCCTCAAAGAAATCTAAACTAATTAGAAGGGGGAAAGGGTTGCATAAATGCATAATTTTTATTCTTATAAGATATATTATACCTAAGAATACATAGGGGAAAAAGACATGCAAAAATAATTTGCCTGCCTTCAACATGCAACTTCAAGAAGCACTCACCATATAGCCCCAGTCTCCATTATCCATCTGCTCCAGCGCTGCGTCTTCAGGAGCCCAGGTGCCAGAAAAACTTGAGGAGGAGAAAAACAGACATATGATAGCACATGGAACCAGAGAAGAAAGGTTTTCCCACCGAACACAGTAGGCCAAACACCAGAAAAACTACTCATCTTTGCTCAACTAAAACCTACTACAGGGCAAAGATATGGGGAAGAAAGCATTCCTCTGGGGCCTTCCACATGTCCACTATCCTTACCACAGGGAGCCCACGCAGAACAGTCACCTGAGACCAAAGACCTTTACAGAGAAAGAACTATCCTACGCTTAGGGAGGGAGGAAGAGCCTAGGAAGTAAACCAGTCATTCAAATTCTATCTCTCTTCTCTGAAAATCCAATTTTTAGAATTACTATAGGAGAATAATAAGATTAACCTTATAACTATTCTGGTACAAACCTATGATGCTAACAGAAAGGGAGAAAAGGAAAACTTTTCATCAGCATTTCAGCTATACAAATTAAATATCTCCATAAAAGGGCCGGCCCAGTGGCGCACTGGATAGTGCGCCACTTGGGAAGCGCGGTGGCGCTCCCGCCCGAGGGTTCGGATCCCACATACAGACCGGTTCCTGCTCACTGGTTGAGTGAGGCGCGGGAGCAGCGCAGAGGGTTGCGATCCCGTTGCCGGTCCCCGGTCCGGTGCGGGGGCGGCACTGAGGGTTGCGATCCGTTGCCGGACACGGAAAAAGACAAAAAGACAAAAAAAAAAAAAAAAAAAATCTCCATAAAAGCATCAAAAATCATAAACCTCCCAACACCAGCATCACTTTCCAAGAGAAATACATCAGAAAGGTATTTTACAATATAAAAAAAACTAGGGCTGGCTCCTTAGCTCAGTTGGTTAGAGCATGGTGTTACAACACCGAGGCCAAGGGTTCAGATCCCCTTACTGGTCAGCTGCCAAAAACATTTTTTAAATTAATCACATTTTTAATAATGATGTATTTCTCTTTATATAATAATCAAAACAAACAGAAACAATTTAAATGCCAAAACATTAGAGCACAATTCAGGGCAAAAAGAACCTTACCAGTCTGGCTGAGGGTCAATCAGCCAGCACTCACGGAGAGGAGCCTTAAGACACTGATAAACGCCTAGATACTACTGATGCCAGTTTGAGTTTATTTTTATCCACAATTCAAAAGTACTTAAAGAAACAGTTTCCCAGCTACTGAAATGCCTTAGTCAGTTCCCTCTCACACACTTCATTGCAAAGCAAACTGCAGAGCAAATTTCAAAAGCACTGGCAAGAGATGGTAAAAAACATGGACTTATCGGTATTCATCCAGGAAAAGCATTGGCTTTTCTACATAGCTGTTGAACAGATCCACTTTTCCCACTTTTAGAAGAATCTGGCACACAATTTCCAGAACAAGCCCTGGCTACAGAAGATCACAAAGGCTCTTTCTCAAAAGGTCACTCAGGCATGTAGAGAACATTTGCATAGCACAGCATGGGCTGAAATCAGAGCCTGAAGCACATCTATTTCTCCACCTTGCAAATTCTTCAAAGCAAACAAGCAAAAATGTGGGCTAAAGGATGTGCAGTCATTTTTTATTCTTTACACTAGGCAGTTGAATGCAGATAGGCATCCACATGCCACAGGGCGAGGAACGGAACAAATGTCAAATTCAGGGCTGTTGTGACAACGTTTCGCTCCTCTAACTTGCTTCACAAAAACTATCTGAAGTCAACAAAAGCAAGAAATGGGCCTTTTACCAGAGTTTGTCTTGCCAGCATCTGATTCAATTACCGATAACGACAGATTAGCAACTGAGCAATTTAAAAGGCTAGTCATCCAAAAGTTCTCGTAAGATGCTCATCTTTGTCATTCTCCCATCTCCCAAAGCATTCCTTTCTGACAGCCTCAATAATCATTCATTCAACCAACATTCATTGTGGGTCAACTATGAGGGAGAAAAGAAAGTCTATGTGAAATGTGGATACACAGATACAGGAAAGGTGCAATCCTTGCCTTCATGGAGCTTTCACTCAATGAAGGAAGGTAACATACAACAACTAAAGTACAGAAGAGAATTCAAAAGTGCTGTGTAAGAGATCAACCGGCACAGGCCTACAGGAGGAAAAGAACAAGATTCCAAATGGGAAAATGGAGGACCCCTGGAAATATGAAGGAAGGTAACATACAACAACTAAAGTACAGAAGAGAATTCAAAAGTGCTGTGTAAGAGATCAACCCGCACAGGCCTACAGGAGGAAAAGAACAAGATTCCAAATGGGAAAATGGAGGACCCCTGGAAATAGCTTACTCAGTTGAACCCTGACAGAAAATTTGGACAACAGAAGGGATTCTAGAATGAAGAAACAATTTAAGTAGACAGGAATATGAAAGCTTTTTTTCCCTTACAACATTCCCAATACAGTAAACTGAGCATGGATTACTGTCCCCATTTTAGAGATGCAAAATAGAGAAACAAGGCAGATTAAGTGACTTGCTCAAGACCCCACAGCTGGGAAGTAACTAAATAAAAATTTGGGTTTCCTGACTCCTAGTCTAGATCTTTCCATAAGTCCCTTCCTAGGGTAGAAATTAAAAGAACAGAATCCAAGAAACAAGAAATTTAAAAGGATTAATTTTAGACTCCCTACAGCCATCTCTTAATCCTATCCACCAAGTAGGAACTGACTTACAAATTTTACAATAACTTGGCCTAACTAAGCAGTTATAATGGGTTTGTAAAAATGCCCAAGTCTAAAAAAAATGGCAGGAACCTACTCACTAATGTGAATAATGGCTGCTGTCCTCTGTCTTAAGTGACATAAAGAACTCCGGTCCACGAATATTCAAATGGGTAAATGAGAAATGGAAGACCAAAGACAAGGGAAAAAAGAGACATCAATATTACAGCTGTCATGCAAGGTGTGTCCACCATTAATCCTTTTTTTCTTTTCTACTGCTAAATCAAAACAAGGTAACTTCTTGAGCACTCATAAAAAGAAAATTAGATACCCCTAAATCCGTTCCACAGAAAAAGCCAGGGTTCAGTAGAAAGATATAATGAAACCTCAAGCTTAATAATTCAGGAAAGCAATTATGGGAATTTATATAAACCCATGTTTCTTAAAAAGCACCCAAAAGCCTTCCCATACTTGTGTATAAGATACATCAAAATAAACTGAATTCAGCAAAGTGACTGTCACTTTCAATAATGACTAAACTGTCTTAAAAATCAAATTGTTCATTAAAGAATTCAAAGAGCAAAAAAATATTATTGATTAAATTTTATCTCTACTCCTTGCTTCTAAACATCCTCTGTGGAGATCAAGAACCACCCCCCCCAAAAAAAAAGGCAGAAAGATTCTTGGTTATTCAATAGCTGGGTAATCAGCCTCCAAATTCTGAATTCTATCTCAGAGACAATGCAGATGAATGAAATAAAATGTAATCCAAAAGAATTTCCGGAATAGCTTGTCTCTTCTACTAAATCATTTTTCAGAGCTGCTAACAATTAGAAAATGATTCATTTGCTTTTCATCTTCTCTCCCTTCTGGCACAGTCTCCAGTGGGGGGCTTAAAGAGAAGTTAAATGACCACAAGACAGCAAGGATAGGAAAGATCTTGAAATAGGTATCAATGGGCCTGTTTTACCTGCTGAAGGTAAAGAAATATCTAATATTTCAGAAAATTTGCCAGTAATGGAGATTATGAAGGTGACAGTGAAAAAAAATTTAAAGTGACTGTCCTTGCTAAAGATCGTTTTAAATAAAAGACTGCGAATGCAACCAGGCACAATTACAAAATTCAAAGAAAGGCTTCTGACCCTGTAAAATCAGTTCACCTGAAAAGATCTGACCTCTGATGCAAATAAAATTCTTGTGAAAACAATGCTGACCATTCCCAAAGAATATAAAGCAGTACTGCAAATTATGTTTAAGTTTCAAAGACTATTGTGACTCATATATAAATTCTGACAATGTAATGTTAGCAGATGATTAAGGAAAACACATTCTAAAGAATTTAAGGGTTCTTACATTACTTTTTAAGTTATTAACTTATTCTTCAGATTTGCTACTTTAGAAATTCTTTTAAGGCCATTTTCCTCATCACTGCAGAACCGAAGTTACAGACTCAACAGTTATGATGAACGAATTTAACACAAATATTCTGGGTTTATCATTTCTGCTACAAAGGCTAAGAACTCCCTAGGGCAAAAGTGCTACTCCTATATAACAACCTGAAAATTGCAGTATAAATCCATAACTACTGCATTCCCAGAGTTTCCGTGTAGCCCTTTAAGATGCTTTTCTACTGAAACCTTTGTGTCTGGCATTCAGAAAAGAAGACTCAATAAATTCCCTCCATCTACACTTAACCTTCAGAACTGCCTTTGTACTGAGTTCTCTGCTCTTGAAATGTGGGAGTTTGAAAGTGAAATACTTTTTATAGTAACTAGTTCAGCGACATCTAAAGGAGTCTTTTGGGTTAACATTCACACACAGGCCAGCACAAGTAGCCAGCATATAAGGATAATGTGATTATAGTGATAGATTATACTTAACCACACCATTGCAGAAATCGACTTTTTCTAAAAGTAATTTTTTTCCTCTCTCCTCTCTCAACCATGTGGTCTAGACGAAAAGAGTTACAGTTCGAAAAGTGACTTTAAAACTAAAGAGCTGTCACAAATAGTCACAAAATCATAAAATTCCTCTTACCCTCATTTTCCACAAGACAAAAGGGGTAATATCTCCTTCCCACAAGCAATTATATCATTTAAGCACTATACAAAGGCAAAAACTGGCCTACAGGGTAAGAGATTAGGACTAGGGTTCTGAAGTCACATGCAGGTGAGTGCAGAGGAAAGAGAACTCGTTACCGGGGAGGATCCGTATCCCGACTGTGCTCAGTTACTAATTATGAGACCCTGAGTAAATCACTCTTTATGCCCAGCTTCTTCTTTGGGGAAATGGAGAAAATAAGTGAGATCATGAATATAAAGCCATCTGTAAACTGGCAAGTACTATATAAATGTGAAAATACTAGTACCAGTAGCATAAACAAAATTTCTGTAGTAAACTGAGAAACTTGAGAGTGTGAACACAAGTAATTGCGAGCACTGGCATGGAGACAGGGCAAACATGGAGGAGAAGGCCTCAATTTGCTTCCAACTTCCCCAGGTCCTCCTTTTCCCAGAGGTCTAGATAGCAGAACTACAGGTTAATGGCGAGGAGGGGGGTGGCGGGGTGGGGGGGGAGGACTTGCATCCCGTTTTTACAGAGACCAACAGACATCTGAGCTCTTGATCTCAGAAGGAAGAGCACTGGCATGGAGACAGGGCAAACATGGAGGAGAAGGCCTCAATTTGCTTCCAACTTCCCCAGGTCCTCCTTTTCCCAGAGGTCTAGATAACAGAACTACAGGTTAATGGCGAGGAGGGGGGTGGCGGGGTGGGGGGGCAGGACTTGCATCCCGTTTTTACAGAGACCAACAGACATCTGAGCTCTTGATCTCAGAAGGAACTTCTCTAAAGCATGACTCAGGATTATCTCCAAGGTGAAGCCAAATCCAAATAAATGATATGTATTCCATTTTAAATAGATCCTAAAGATCAAAATTTAAGATACCTTGAGGGATTCACAGGATTCACCCCAGGACTCCTTTATGTAGTAATGCTTTGGTTAAGATATGACTTGGGAAAATTCAAATCACAAAACTTAGGAATAGCATCTATGGCTAGCCTGACCATTCAAACCTTCATATATCTAAGGCATGCCACAAAATCAAGCATCAGCAGGGGCTGATGGTTTTCAACCAAAAAGCAAGTTCTCTCAACCTACCAACCCTGCTGACAAAAACATTTTCCTTTTTCTAGCTACACCTTTCTTCATTTGAAAACATCTCAATTTTGGGCTCAGGCCTGTGCTAAACGCTATCCCCTGGCTCCTTTTCTAATCCAGGATCATTCATGTACTAGGGCATTAGTGACAGCGAAAAATAAACATGCCAGAGGGATATGGAAGGGATACTTAGGCTACGCCAAACGTTCTTAGCCAAACCAGCTCATCCTTGTCCTCTCTGCCACCCAAACCTCTTCTATCACAGAGTCCTATAACTGGATTTATCAACTTGTTCTAGACTGGTATACTTGAACAGAAATATAACTTCCGCAGAATATCTAAACAGGATCTCTGTCACGTTTCATTTCCCCGTCCCACCCCCAGACACAGCCTCCACCACCGTCAGCCCAGCAGGTGCTGCAGGGGCTCCCTATTACCACGGCCATTTATCACCTCTGACATCAGGCATTAAAAATGCCACGACATGCACAAATCTGAGCATAAAGAACTCAGCTGCAATCTGAGTGTCTCTTCGGAGCAGAAAATCCCAAAGGTAGGGCTCAGAAGCCCTGCTGTACGCTTTAAACTAGGGCAAGCGGCGGCTAATAAGCGCCACCGCAAAAACAATCATTTTCTTGTGTCTCCGTCCCGGCCACGCTTCGCTGTTGCCCCACAAGCGAAGCCCCCCAACCCGGACCGGCCCCGGCGTGTGACGGGTGATTCTCCGGGCTCGGGGTGGGGACGCGCACCGGTGCCCCGAACCTGGGCCCCCCGAAACCACGCGTCCCAGCCGGGCGGGCCCAGGAACCCCCGCCCAGGCCCGGCCACGG